CCCTTGAAACAAAACAAACAAAATCTTTGAGTATGTTTTTCTTGAAACAAAAACATCTTTGAGTTTGTTTCTCTCAAAACACCGATCTTTGAGAACGTTTCCCTTAAACACAAATTTTGTCTCGCTTGAGACAATTTCCTTTAAAAGTCATCTTTGAGATGTTTCCATTGAAACGAATTTTGTCTCTTTTGAGACAGTTGCTTTTGAAACACATCACCTTTGAGTTTGTTTTTCTTGAAACAAATCTTTGAGTCTTTTTCTTTTGAAACAAGTCTTTGAGTCAGTTTCCCTTGAAACTATTATCCCTAAAGATGGCCAGAACTCTTCATCAAGTATGAGCCGTGTCATCCACCGAACAGACCTCCTCATCATGTAGGAGCCATGTCAACCATAGATAATCAGTCGTCCTCATCAAGTAGGAACCGTGTTATCGTCCTTCCTAAAGATGGCCAAGAACTCTTCATTGCGTATGAGCAGTGTCATCCCCCGACTAGACCTCCTTATCACATAGGAGCCATGTCACCCTAGATAACCAGTCGTCCTCATCACGTAAGAACCAAGTTATCACCCTTCCTAAAGATGGCCAAGAACTCTTCATCACGTATGAGCAGTGTCATCCCTCGACCAAATTTCCTCATCACGTAGGAACCGTGTCACCCTTAGACGACCCGAACTCTTCATCACGTATGAGCAGTGTCGTCCCCAACAATCAAACTTCTAAGCATAAAAGGAAGAGAACCAGACAAAAACGTGTTGTGTTGTCGTCTTTGCCCTATTCTTGTTAACACAAGAATGTGCAAAGAGAGGCAGTTGTAGACACTCATTTTTGTCCGGGTCTTTTCTATTTTTTATCTATTATTATTATTATTATCATTATTATTTATTATTATTATTATTATTATTATTGTTAATAATATAAATTACACTCTTTTGCAGGCCATTTGGAGCCCAGTATCATATTACAAGCGGCCCAATTCTGAAGCCCGAATCACTCAAACCCATTCCCAGTTACAACCCAAGCCCCAAATTGATGGGAACCCATCTGATGCAGCCCACCCGAGACCCAAATCCGACTCGATTTAAAACCCTAAACATATTAGGGTTTCTTGGAGATCCAGCGTCGCTCAATCTCATCCATTGATCTGGACCCAAATTAACGGTCCAGATCAATGACCATTCTAGGGTTATAGGAACCCTAGCATATATGAGTACTGTAACCGCCACTGCATGTCACCGTTGCCTACTTCTATGTTGCTTCAGCCACCAGTTCTGACACCGTCATCGTCCTTCCCTGCATCAACAGTGACTCACCAATCCATCAAACAGTGACCCAGATCCTATCTAAGTCAGAAAATCAGAAATCTCATCCTATAATTCTAGGATATTATTATCCTACATTGAGACACTCAAATATCATCAAAAGCCATCATCAACAACCATCAATCAGATCTAGCATGCAAACATAAAATAAAGAAAAAGAAAGGAGAGCATTCGGGTTTTTCAGAGTGAAACACACAGAGAGAAAATGAGAGTTTACAAAGGGGGAAAGAAAAATCCCAGGCAACCTATTCGAACCAGAGAGAAAAAAAAGGAAAACAAAAAGGGAGAAGGGAGAGAAACCCTTACCTCGTTTCTCCGTTGAAAGCTGAGCTCGCTGGAGTTGAAGAACCCTTCGGGTTCTTCATGGATTCACACCGTTTGAGCCCTTTTCAAGGGAAACTAACCCCAGATTCGGGACCAGGGCATTGAGGTGCTTCAAGTAGTGCCCTTTTCTCTCCGCTCCGGCGCCGGCGTACAACGGTGGTCGCCGATCAGTGCGGCCGGTACGGTAAAACCCCATCGGAATCTGGGCTTCGGTTGAAGCTTGGAGAGAATTTTCTCTCTCTTTCTCCCCTTCTCTCTCTTTCTCTCTCGCAGGCAAAGGAAAAAATGAGGAAATGGGATGAATTTGGCCTAGGCTTGGCCTTATATTTGGTGTGTGAAACGATGTCGTTTTGCTAAGGGAGGGTCTGCGTGTTTTGCTAAGTCCCTTTTCGTTTGTAACATTATGATTTGGTCATTAATGAAGTTTGTAATATTCTGTTTTGGGCACTCATTCTTCTTCCTTTATATTTAGGTCCCCATGGTATGTATCATACAATTTTCATTTATATTTGATTATGGTTTTAATATTTGCAAACATTTCATTTCAATCACTAAATGTAACTTTACTTTATTTATAATTAGTGTTTTAATTTATTTTGTTTACATTATGGCCACTGTTTTAGTATAAGTACCTTTAGGTAAAATTATTGTTTGTCCTTACAAATTTCTGTTTCATATCATTTTAGTCCTTATTTGTTGTTGATATGTTTATTGGTTAATTTATGTTTTAATGGCAATTTGTGCTCTGAATAATTTTAGTCCTTGATTTAATGTTTTGTACATCTTCCTTGGTGTTCGAATTTGTATATGATATTTGCAAATATTTTATTTTAGTCATTCGTTTGACATTTTGGTTTAATTATTGTTTAGTTCTCCATATTTATTGTTTATTTTATTTTGGTCTATAAGTATGATTTATGGGTTATTTCATTTTTAGTACTTATAATATTTAGTATTTTCTTTTTGAGCTCTGGTTTGTGTATATTTATGTTTTAGCCCTTTAATATTATGTTTTATTGTTTTAGTCCCCAAGATTTTGTTTTTACATTTTTTGGTCCCTAAAGCTTCCGCTTTTATTATTTTAGTCCCTTAAATTTTTGTTTGTACTATTTAGTCCTTTAAGTTTTTGTTTTTACTCTTTTGGTCCTTTAGCTTTCTGTTTTCCTCCTTTTGGTCCTTGTAATTTTATTTACTTATTTTATTGTCATTTCATTTAATTTGTAATAGTCACTTGTTTTATTTTGATCTTCATGTGAATATATTTTACATTATATATGTATGCATTCTTAAGTAAATATTAACCATAATTACTGTATGTAAGTGAATTTGTTTAATATTTATTTCTTTCATGTTTTTATATATTTTATGATATTCAACTACTTTCGAGAACACGTAATTGTAGAATGGGCGTGGAAAGTATCACTTGATCGAAGTGGTATAATCCAATACGACATTCGAATAAATACGAACTTGAAATAAATCAATTTAATTTTACTAATTAATTTATTTTAATAATGCAATGTGTGTTATTTTTAATTCACTATTTATTTCCTTTTATTTGAATGCAAATGTCAATTTCATTTATATTTGATTCGCATATTTATCAATGAGGGAATATTCTTTTATTGACAAGAAATAGTCGAGTTAGCTTTCCCGATGGAGGATTACTAATTTCGATATTTCTTTTCGAGTTAAAGAATTTTATGTAATTAATTTATTCGAAGCAAATTAATTAAATTTCAATAAATGGATCACATCTTAACTTTACGTTCGACTCACGATTTTCACCATGTACGACAACGTGTAAGCGATACAGTACCAATTTTGGGCGTTGTGGGGGTGTTTATCATTTCTCACGCGTAACCGACTCTCGAACCGTTTTTAATCGAATCTTTGGTAAACGTATACCATTTTTGTCTTAAAAATGATTTTTTCTTAAAATTATTTTAGAAAGACATTTTTAGGTATTCGACCTACCTAACCCAAAGGTCGATGGCGACTCCTTTTAATTTAATTCCAATTAATCCAAAATCACTCAATTTTTCCAAATAAAAGTCATAATCGCTTTTTTAAATAATATTTAATTGTTTTACCTAAAAAATGGTTATGACACGCATAATCTTAAATGATCATCATATCTCAATGAACATGTTAACGTTCAGCTTAGATGACCGTTAGTTTTTTAACAGAAAATGATGAGTTTGAAACATAATAAATAATCGAGTGACAATTTTATAACTTTTCATAGTTGATGGACTCAACAAAGCAACTCCTTATAGTCGAGGGACTATTTTATAACTTTTATGACCTATAGTCGGAGACTATTTATGTACTTTACCCAAAAATATATTATACATCTATCCGCTTTCACACACAAAATTAAATACCAAAATAAAACTAAAAGAATAATATTGAATCCTTATTTTTAATTAAATTAATATTTAATGACAAAATTTTATTATTCTCGTAATTATATCTTATTCAATAAGATTAACATATTTGAAAAAAATGGATTGGAGTATATTTCGTGGCTAATTGTTTATTTCTTTTCAACTATCTTTTATTGCACAGGAAAAAACTATGTACTAGTGAGTTATGCTTAGTAGTGTAAATGAATCAAGTTTAGATTGGAGTATATTTTGTAGCTAATTTTTTATCATTCATTTATATATTCGTTAAATATAATCGTTTAACGTTTGTTTATATTTTTGTGAATATGTTTATTTGTAAGTTATATTAAAATTATATTATTAATACTTAAATTCTTTAAGTTTCATAATTTAAATTCTAAATTTCACAATATATTCAATTTAATCCTTACATTCATCAACATTGAAAAGAATAAAAAATAAACGAGCCACTAAATGAATTTGTTCATAAACATAAACTAATAAGTCTATAAAAGAGTTTATTTGTAAATATAAACGAACTAAATATACTTCTATTCGTATTCATTTATTTATTAAATAAATATAAAAAATTTAATTATATTTATTTTTATTTTTAAATTTAAAAAACGAATATAAATAAATATTATACAAACGATTTAATAATAATTCGGTGAATTGTACGATCATTTATATCCCTGGGGTATGTTGAGGGAGACTGGGGAAGCAAGCACGTGTATGAGTGGGGGACACACCAAACTCATAAATCAAAACGTTAAATACAAGAAATTGCACACTAAAAAACAAGAGCAGCAGTCAAGTCCCTTTCTTTCACCGGTTATATGTTGCTTCACACACCGCTGCATCATTTCCTGTCTATTCGGCTCACTGCTTGAACAAAGCAAAATACAAAATCCAAAAGCATCTTGTTTCCCTTTGAAGAAACCATAAGCCTGAATTCATAGGAAGATGCCTAGACCAGGTCCAAGACCTTATGTCTTTGAGAGAAAAGCTTGGCACAGTGATACTCACCAAACCATCAGAGGTTCCCTTGTTCAAGAAATCTTCAGGTTCTTCCTTCTTTCATCTAAATGTTTATTTCTACTCTCTAGATTTCTTTATCAGTCACTAATTTTATGTATGTGGTCTTGGTTTAGAGTTGTGAATGAAATTCATAGCTCTTCAACTAAGAAAAACAAAGAATGGAAAGAGAAGCTCCCTGTTGTGGTTTTGAAAGCTGAAGAAATCATGTACTCGAAAGCAAATTCTGAGGTAAAAATGTCAACTTTTTGAGTTTTTGATCACTCTATTTTCTGTGTTGAAAAACCCAGATTTTGATCAAATTGACTTTGCATAGGGTGAGTATATGAACATTAAAACCCTATGGGATCGAACAAACGATGCTGTTAACACAATCATTAGACGAGATGACAGTACTGAAACTGGAAAGCTTCTTCAACCTTGTATTGAAGGTACCCTTTTGCTTCTGTTTGAATTTGAGCTGAAATCTGCATATTTGCAATTTGGGTCTTTCTGGGATTTTTTCTGGCTTGATTATGAACAGCACTAGTGATTTATACGTTCTTTTGTTAGCTGCTCTCACTTTAGGCTGCACGCCAAGAACCTTGAGCAGCCAACGAAATTGTAGTCCAAGGTGTTACCTTAACTCGGCTACTCAAGCAAATCTCATGGCTAACTCACATTGCTTGGTTAGCTTTACGAAACCTGCAACCGTGAATGCGATTCGATCGAGCTTTGAATCTCCGAAATACGCTGGCCGGGATGGTTGTTTCACCACTTTTGCACCTGGGAATGTTTCTCTACCTAATAATAACCAATGGTTACCTTCAGAGAAGTGTTCAGTTTATCCACTTTACTACTATGGCAATGATCTTAAATCCGAAGATCCGAGGCATGGTTTCGGTATCTTCCATAAGTCTGCTAAGATGAACCAAATAGGTGTTAGAAGTTCTTACAACAACCCATACTGCGAAATCTCCTGTGATATATCGTTGCGGTTGGGCCCTCTTTCAACGCCATGCCTTGGAGACAGTCGGAATCGAGAAACCAAAGATACCGATTCCATAATTGCACAGTGGAACAGGTCCCCTGCAATTGATAAAAGATTATCTTCCTTTCATAAGAGCAACAGATATGACCCCTTGAACGCTTCTCCGGAGTCGAATGAATGGATGAATGTGGATGCTGCAATGAGGAAGAGAAAGATGCTTCCATGATCCACAAGGGATCAGCAGTTTTGCTTTGTCCCCACAGCTTCCTTACAGCCCCTTAACTGGAAGAATGAAAAGTGCAGGATCCTCGACTTCGGAACCTTTAGATCATCGACATCGACTTTATGTAAATCTGCATATATTTAGGAGTTTCGGTTAGATGAGGCAATCGACAGCAAACTAATAGGAGAGACTCTTGATCCGCAATGTATAAAGAATGTTATCTCTTTCCTGTTTGTGCTTCCATGTATCAAAGGTTTGGATCAAGCAATGGTGATCTCCCTCAAATGTTTTGGCACCATCTTCCTTCGACACTAATACGTTTAAACGTTCAATTAACAAGTTAAATAATCCTCGGTCTTGATCAAGCTCAGTTAAACATATCGATCTTCTGCGTCGAACAGTCTTCCAAGACGGACGGTTATATTAGCTGCCTTGAGAACTGCATTAACAATCTTTATCTTCTCTCACATATCAGCCATGAGTAAGCTGCCATAACCATAAGGTAATGCTTCCTAAATCAATATTTGAACTTGGTTGGTGCTCATTATTAGTTGATATAACTTCTATTATTTAAAGAATATATACAAATCGTATAAAATTAATCACAATGCTAAAACCTAAACAACTGTACAATGTATCAACCCTGAGTCAAAAACACTCTTCAGCTCGTTGCCATTGAAGAACTTGAAGTAGAAGTATAATGAAAATCGATTTGCAGTCGCCGGTGAAGAGAAAATGTCGATATTCTGCCCTTTTTCTCTTCTTCCTCGAGCTCCTCAACTGTTATGGCCGCTAGAAATCTTTTTATGTATTCCCTGCAACATTCTTTCCCCCTGCATATAACCATCTCATCTTCTTCACTTCCTCCCACCTCCTCCTTCCCATACATTGAACTCGAATCATCGAACTTCAACATGTAGGCTTGCTTACAACCCTCAAACAACCGCTCACCCAAAGTATCGATTATGTAATACGCCTTTGATTCTACTTTCAACAAGAAGAAATGATCGTTCCAACTGATAATGTAAACCCTCGGCTGATCATGGTCGTTGCTTATTTCGTTCCATATCTCATCGAAAGACATTGCATCTTTCAAGCACTTGAATCTCTCGGGGCTGAAGAACCCTGTGAATGATTTGTCTTGCAGAACGATGACAGGCTTGTGATCAGCTTTTAGAACAGTATCGAGATCAAAATGCTTGTCGGGGAAGGAATCGGTGTAAGCTATGTTGGAGCAGAGCTCGCGCCACTGAGATGAGCCTTCTGTTATGAGGCTATCGAATTCGAGTCTCGTTGGCATGGAGGCTTGGTTTGAATTGAGACGGTGGGCAATGACGGCTACTAGTGCCGTGCAGGCACTCTCCCCGGCAGCTCTTTCACTTCTTTGGTCGAACGATGCGAAGAACACTTCGGCTTTTAGTGTTGCTTGTCCGTTTCTGCTGAGTAATTGCTTCACTTCCCAGCAGTTTTCTCCGGTTTGAACCAACGGCTGTGCTTTCTTCTTCAAAGATCGAAAACTTAACCGTCTTTTCTTCCATGAGAACATTCTTACCATGTTGTTCTGGGGTGGTTCCAACTGATTTTCAAAACTTCGGAATGATTCCAACTCAGGTCCTAAACTCAGCTCGCCGCTGTTACTTTCACTCGTGGTGGTAGAGTCATTCCCATGCAAACCATCTGAATCAAATACCAGCGACTCGTCCGAGTCACGGGAATTCAATTGATCAGTTTGACAGCTATAATTTTTCTCCTTCTGCCGGGTTAAACTCTTCACTATTTTGAAGAATCCATCTTCCTTGATTGACTCGGCTGAGTTTTGGGCACCTCCTGTCGTGTCTGTAGTACCTCTGACAAAACTCACTAAAATCTATGAAATAAAAGCAAAACAAAAAAAGGAAAAAGTCAAGCAGAGTTCATATTAAAAAAAACAATTCAATTATAATCATTTGACTGGAAAATTAGACCGAGAAATAAAATATTCGAAACAGATAGAAGCCCTAGCTGGAAAAAACAAGAGAGAAAATCGGTTATGAAAGGACATTGAAACTTACGAATAAAGAAGCTTCGACGACAACACCGTCAACTTTTAACGCAACCGGAAGCTTCCGTTCAACGTCCGAACACCCCGTCACCGGAACCAGTTTTGCCAAATCCAGAGAAACCTTCCCCGCAACCGCCAATTTACTATTTCCTTCAGAATTCTTTCCCTAAATCAAAAAGGAATCTCAATACCAAATCAGAAATCTTAAAAAGGAAAATGAGGTTTCTGCAATTTACTTACATGCAATACATTAAACAAAACATCCCAAGACCCGTTGGAAACGACCGAGAAATCGCATACGTTTTCGAATTCGTCATCGTCCCATTCGATCGGTTTCCGATTCCCTAAAACTCTCTGGCTGCCGCGGTTCCTCTTGTGCCTCGAAGACGAAGATATGTAAAACGAAGCCAATCTGGGCTTGGGTCCTTTCCAAATTATTTCAATAGCCAGGACTTTGGCATCGTCTTTGTCACCATCATCTTCCTCGTTTCTGGTTATTCCTTCAAGCTTCAATGGCTTCACCTTCACGTGCAACATTCTCTTGGACGGAGACCTCGTCCACCACTTCATTTTCATCTTCAACGAGGAATGTGGGGATTTTCGGAAAGTTGTATTTATGGAAATGACTTTTTGACTCGTTCAAATCTGTAATTGACAGCGAAGCAGAATCATCGAGTTAGGGGAAATGCCGAATGCGTGCGTGTTTTTGTTATTGTGAGCGCCAAAATCACGTGTACTCATCTTATCTTTTTTGCTTACGTGGCGTGTTTTTAGTTGTCCGATAACGATAGCGAAGAGAGTTTTGGTATAATGTTGGAACCAGCATCAAAGATCCGATGGGGTACTGCCACGTCAAACCTGGGAATAGGCAATTCGACACGTGCGTTACGCATAGGTTCTCAACCACACGGAAACGTAGTCCGGTTATCTTTGTTCAGGATTTGCTTTTTTCGTCTAATTATGTTATAAGCCCCTCTATGCTTCTCACTTTTGTCATTTGATCTCATTATTTTTAGTCTCGAGAATTTAATCTCTATGTTTAAAAAATGAAAGATTAAATTCAAGGGTAAACTACATGTTTAGTATTTAAACTATTAATTTTGTTCCATTTTGATACTTAAATTTTATTCTTTTTCAAAATTATACCTAACTTTTAGTGTAAGTGTTATTTTGGTATCTCATCGTTAAAAACTTAATGATGATGTCGACATATCACCATAAGGTAATATTATGTCATCATTAAAAAGGTAAAATCCTTTTTTCATTCCACTGCAACGGTTGAGTCTGAGGTACCATCCATTCTTAATTTTGCCAAAACTGTCATGACTCAATCATGTATAGGTCGTACCAAGGCCTGATACAAGGGTGAGCCAATAGCGAATAACCATTTCTTCCCTACTTCCTCGACCTTCATTCCCATCCTGCCAAGCTGAGGCTGCCAACGCATTGTATCTAACCACATTGTGGCTAAATTAAAACCTAAACGTTAGATATGATTAAAAAAAATAGATACCAAAACAAAAATAATAATTTAAATACTAAACGTGTAATTTACCCTAAAATCAATTGAAATGTGATATCTTTTAATTTACACTAAATTCAATCGAAACGTGATCTCTTTCTTTTTATTAAGGGAATTTAATCTCATTTTTAAATATTATTATCAATTGAAATTTGATTGAAAGGGAAGATAAATTACATTCCTAGAATTATAAGCAGATGGACCAAATTAAAATATAAACTAAACGTTAGATATAATTTTTAAAAAATAAAGTTTAGATACCAAAATAAAATAAAAGTAATAGCTTAAGTAATAAAACCTTGTAGTTTACCCTAAATTCAATTGAAATGTGATCTCTTTCTTTTTATTATCGGGAATTTATTCTCATTTTTAAATATTATTATCAATTGAAATTTTAAAATATAAAGAGTAAAGAGACTGAGAATAAATTAGACCCTTTTCCTTTTTATTGGCTAATTAAATAAAATGTGGATTTGCTCGTAAGCTTTCAAGCAAAGTAACATATAACGGTTCAAGAAATGCCTACCTTGAGTGCGGTCCACGTGCAAAAAACCTTTTTTCACAAATAAGATAAACCAAGTACCTTGGCTCTGCCTGTGCCTAAGCCGTTAGGCTAGACCATCCAATTGGTATATTTTCACTACATTGTGTATATAATTTTACATACCGCTAATAATTAATCTACGTAAAAAAAAATCAAATCTTCCGTTGCTTGCTTTCTTTTTCTTTAAGTCTAACATGCGATTTAATAATTCTACACTTGAAATATTTTTTCATTAAATATGCATTTAAATTATTTTTATATATAATCATTAAATTATTTTTATTTTAAATAAAAAGAAAACTTTAGATTTTAAAATTATTGAATTATTATTTTTATATAATCATTAAATTATTTTTAAACATTATATATAAAAATAATTTAAGAATATAAAAATCTAAAGTTTTCTTTTTATTTAAAATAAAAATAATTTAATGAACAAATTATCTTCCAATATAGTTGTGACATGTCTCGTCATCTAATTGGGAATTAATTTTATTGAATTAAATTAAAATTATGACCAAATTAATAGAATATATAAATAGTGAGGATCAAATGTATAATTATACCACTTTTATTAACTGTCATGTCAGCAGTTCCATTAAGTGTTATCTGCATGTGGTTTGATTGGATGCATTTAAATAGTTGGGTGGCCTGATTGATAAGAATTTAAAAATGATGGTCAAAATAAAAATGAGCTATAGTTGGGTGGCCTGATTGATAAGAATTTAAAAATGATGGTCAAAATAAAAAGAAGCTATAGTTGGGTGGTCTTTAGTATAGTTTACCCTATTATAAAATCTTAATGTTCAAATAAAGATATTATTATTTTTATTTCAAAACCAATGTTATTTATTTTTAAGATTAACGTATGATTTTATGTTAGGATATATATATATTATAAAATCATAAAAATTGCATATTGATTGAAATCTAAAAAATTATTATCAAGATATTTTTATTGTAACCGAAAATATTATTAATTGTTTAACTTTTTAGAGTAGTCTTGTAATATTTTAAGTTAAAACCTATCGTAATATATCATTTTTTTGTAATCAGAATTATTGCAAATCGTATAACTTTTTAGGTTGGTCATATTAACATTTTATGTTAAAATTTTTCACAAATTAGCTTTAAATTGGACCAATGCGCATTAGAACTACCCTAGAAGGATGTTGAGGATATGGTTGTCCGTTTACAAATTTTGCATTCTTATATGATTTAAGTATTTTCTATCGATGATTTAATTTCACATCTCTTAAAATTTTGTAATTTCGTAATACCTATATTTCTAATATAACTTTCTATGATCACACCTCATAATATAAAATTTTATGATTGTCCTAGACGATTGTAAATCAAGAGAGCGCTTGATGAATTGTTTGCATAACGCTTGTTTTATGTTTGTTTGTTAAGCTAAAAAAATAAGTATGAATAAATTTTTTTATGTTCATTTTATAAACAAAAGAACACTAATATATATATATATATATGTTCGGTTTATTTATGTTCACGAACAAACTCGTTTATTGTCTCACTTATCGAATGGTTTATAAGCTTGTTTACTCGGTTCTCATTTTCTGTTTTTTATTTTATATTTTAAATAGTGGTGAAGATATTGATTAAATTGAACATGAGGTGACTTTTAGAGTTTAAATTGTGAAGCTTAAGGACATTAAAGACTAGTGGTGTAATTTCACTATTTTTCTTTGCTTGCAAATAAAGGGATCAAAAGAGAGTTTTGGTTGACGAACATTAATCTAACGTTAGAAAAATATATTTACAAACGCTACATGAATATGTTCATGAACTTTAAACGAACACCTTCACGAACGTTAAAAAAACATATTCACAAATGTTAAATAAACATGTTTGCGGACATTAAATGAACAAACACAAACATTTTCAGAAATAAATAAACAAACATGACAATAATACTACAAATTTAAACAAACACAAATTAAATATAAAACATCTTTAAAATTGAATAAACGAAAACAAAGACAATTTTATTAGTTCAATCACAATTCATTTACATCATTGTCCCTACACTACAGCAATATTAACCTATTGCGGCGTTTTTAAGCGCCGCTAAAAGCACTCGCGGCGATAGTAAAAACGCCGCAAGAAGCGTCGACGAAACCAGCGCCGCTAAAGTTAGCGGCGTTTTTGGGACAAAGGCCGCAATAGGTCGAGATCTATAGCGACGTTTTTTGGACAAACGCCGCAATAGGTCGAGATCTATAACGGCATTTTTGGGACAAACGCCTCAATAGGTCGAGATTTATAGCGGCGTTTTTGGAACAAACGCCACAAAAGGTTAGATCTATAGCGGCGTTTTTTGATACACGCGCCGCTAATGACCGTTCTTTAGGTAATATTAATTGATTTTGCATATTCCATTTTTGTTATACATCACCTAAATTTAATATCATGTAATCTAATTAACAACAACCATAAATTTTAATTAAGATACAAATTATGCTGAAAAATACTTAACAACAAAATAAATTAAAATTTATAAACACTAAAATTAAATGTAATGTAGTTTGACATTGTTTTCTAGAATTTAATCTAGGTTCTTTCACTTTAAATTAAAAAAAATAGTTTTCCTTGTTTAATGAAGCATCGTTAGGTTTTTCCTCCCTATATATATGGAGAACATCTTCATCCATTTCACCAAATAAATCCCCTAGCTCCGGTTCACCAAGAAGACTCCTTGCACGCTTAAATGCTTCACTTGAAACAGATAACGACCTTCCACCTACAGTATGTAATTGATTGGGGTGGCTTGGGAATTGAATCTAATCTTCGAACATACTGCGTACGATTTATGAAATTTGAGAGTACAAAATAAGAATATAGCGGCGGAAAAATTTAGAGATTATTACCTTGAAGTGGGAGATCGACCATGGAAGGGTATGGAGCAATAGGAGTTCCTTTCGGGTCATTATAGGGTTTTGACGGCAAGAACGGACCGGAATCCTCCCAACGATAATTTGATCCGGCGTCAGAGCAAATACGCCACGTGGACATTCTGACGATTTTGCTTAGGGATCGTGGATTAAATTTTCTAGAGTTTTATCCACAATCAATTTCTCTTACTCTGTCCATACATATGGGTGATCGAGTTTATAAATCTTCTCTTATATACCTCATTGTTTCAGTTAAAGAGCAGCACAAAAAAACGCGCATTTCAAATGAAGTAAACAAAGGAAATAAAGTAACTCAGAGGTTATATATCCTTAGTTAAGGCTACTTTAACTAATCACTTAAAGTAGCAAGTAATATTGATAGTATAAAAAACAAAATTGATGTTAAGAAACATAAATAGACTAATGATCTCACTTAGACTCCAAGTCTTAACATTGCGAAAAACCAACAAGATGGAGAGATGCAAATAAAATATCCTGTTTTCAAGGAATAATAATTATGTTTGACAGGAAAAGTGAGTGCAGCGTACCTTGGTGCCTGCTAATTGTTCTTTAAAACTGTATGTGAATTAAAGGACCACTTTGCAGGCTGAAATATAAAGAATGC